TGCTACTGCTGCTGCTGTTGCTGCTGCAGGAGTTTTGTTGTGGAGTGTTTGCTGCTGCTGCTGCTCAGAGATGGAGCCGATGCGATGCCGCCGGGGGAAGCAGAGAAGGTACGATATTTGCAGCAGCAGAAGTAGCAGCAGCCGCAGAAGCAGCAGCAGCAGCAGCAGTAGTAGTAGGAAGAGCAGCAGCAGCAGCGGCTGCAGCACGCAGAAGTTAGCTGCTGCCGCAGAGTGCAAGGCTGGCCGGTAGAGCTGCTGTGTCTGATGCCTCCAAGACCTGCTGCTGCTGTAGCTGCTACTGTTGCTGCTGCTGCTGTTGCTGCTACTGTTGCTGCTGTTACTGCTGCTGCTGCTGCTGCAGATGCTGAGAAGGGAACTGGGCCGAGATTGGCGGCAACACTTTCTGGAGTTCGATATGAATCCATTTGCTGCTGCTAGCATTGGGCAGGTAAGCTGCTGCTGCTGCTGCTGCTGCTGCTGCAGTGCAAGTTTCTGCTGCAGCAGCAGCGAGGAGTTGCCTCTGCTGCTGCTGCTGCTGCTGCCTCTGCCGCATGCACAGGAAGCTGCATGTCTTTGTGCGCATTTATTATTTCTGATTTATTATGAATTGTTTATTATAAATTAATATTATTTATTCATTTGTTTTATTTATTTATTTATTTATTATATATTTATTATTCATTTTTTGCTTTTAGGTCCACCGGGCTGTTTTAAAGACGGGCGAAGAAGTGGCAGTCAAAATTCAGTTTCCAGGTTTGCTGCTGCTGCCTCTTTATTTATTTTCTTTTTAATATAATATAATTTTATTTTATTTGTATTTTAATTCTTTTGTTTCTTTGTTTAATTCTTTTATTTCTTCTTTTAATTCTTTTATTTCTTCCTTTAATTCTTTTATTTTTTCTGTCTTTCTAGTTTGCTTTTATTTTATTTATTTTATTTTTCTTCTTTTCTTTTTTTCCTCTTTTGTGTTTTTGTGGTGTCTTTTGTGCCTTTGTGAACATCTTCCATCCTTTTGAGTTTAATTTAATTCAATTTATTTAATTAATTTAATCTAGTTAGTTTAATTCAGTTAATTAAATTAATTAGATTAATTAGATTAATCAAATTAAATTAGCTGATTAACTAATTGAAGAAGCAAGCAGCTAATTGTTTAGTTTGACCCTTTGCTGCTGTCCTGCTGCTGCTGCTGCTGCAGGAATTGCTGCGTCGATAACGTCGGACGTGAAGAATTTGCTGCTGCTGCTGCAGCTGTCGCTGCTGCTGCCGTCTTCTTTCTTTCTGGACCGGCTGTCGCAGCAGCTGCAGCAGGAGCTGCTGTCGGAATGCAATTATTTAAATGAAGCAAATTTCCATTTGCTGTTTTCCTTTTTGCTGCAACGAGACTTCCCCAGACACCTCAGGCTTCCCCAGCTGTACAGACACCTCACCACCCAACGTGTCATCACCACCCAGTTCGTTCGCGCCGTACGTGCTGCTGCTGCTGCTGCTGCTGCTGTTGCTGCTGCTGTGGCTGAGGATCGTGCTGCAGCAGAGCTGCAGCTGATGGTGTGGCTTGGGCTGTAGCTGTTGTGTGGTTTGGGCTGCAGCTGTTGTAGCTGCTGCGGTGGTACCCGCTGTAGTTTGTGCTGCAGCAGTTGCTGCTTAACTTGTGGCTCCTGCTGCTGCAGCTGCTGCTGCTGCAGCTGCTGCCCAGTCCCTGCTGCGGTGCCCGTTGCTGCTGCAGGTGCCTTTCGCTGTTGCAGCCCAAACTGCTTCACAAGTGAGCCCCCACAGCAGCAGCAGCAGCAGCAGCAGCAACTGCAGCAGCAGCAGCAGCAACAACAGCAACAACAGCAGAAACACCACCAGCAGCAAACATAATGTTTGGGTGTTGCAGGAAGATAGAAACAAAATGGGGGAGCTGCTGCTGCGCCTGGTGCTTCGAGAAATATTCATCTACCGCCTCATCAACACCGTAGGGTTTAGGGTTTAGGGTTTAGGGTTTAGGGTTTACTTGTGCAGAATAGACGAAAGCGACGCCCCACGAGTTCCTTGTACACCGGAGGAAATTCGCAAGTCCCTGTTCCCTAGGGTTTAGGATTTAGGGTTTAGGGTTTAGGGTTTAGGGTTTAGAGTTTGGCTTGTGCAGGATGCGAACCCAGCGAACTTCATGTGGGATGGCGACGCGCGTTGCCTGTGGCTGCTGGACTTCGGCGCGGGTAACCTTAAACCCTAAACCCCAAACCCTAGACTTCAAACCCTAAACCCTAAACCCTAAACCCTTATTTGTTTTGGGGCTTTCAGGCCGCTCTTATTCGGCGGAGTTCGTGGAGGATTATTGGCGGCTGCTACAGGCTGCAGTTATTGACGTGAGAATAAATAAAATAAATAAAAATTAATTAAAATGAACAAACAAATAAATAAATAAATATCAATAAATAAATAAACAAGTATATACAAATATAAATAAATATAAATAAATAGCGGATTTGAAAGACCACTTCCAGACGCGCTTCGATCTGAATTTTTTTTAACTTACCCCTGCTTTCGCCACTTTCTTTCAATTTAATTAATTAATTTATTATTTATTTATTTATTAATTTATTATTTATTTATTTATTTATTTATTTAATTTGCTTCTCAGGACCGCCAGCAGCTGCAGCAGCAGGCGCGGCGGCTGGGCTTTATTTCTGCTGTCGATACACCTGAATTCGTCGAAGCCCAGTGCTGCTTCTTTTCCATTCTTGCTTCTCCATTTAAACCAACTGTTTGTCTTGCTGCTGCTGCTGCTGTTGCTGCTGCTGTTGTTACTGCTGCTGTTGTTGGTGCCGCTGTTGATGCTGCTGCTGTTGATGCTGCTGATGCTGTTGATGTTGATGCTGCTGGTGCTGTTGATGCTGCTTCTGTTGATGCTGCTGTTGCTGCTGCTGTTGATGCTGCTTTTGATGCTGCTGCTGCTGTTGATGCTGTTTTCGATGCTGCTGCTGCTGTTGGTGCTGCTTTTGATGCTGCTGCTGCTGCTTTTGATGCTGCTTGTGCTGCTGTCGACGGTGCTGCTGCTTTTGTTGCTGCTGGTTGTGTTGCTGAGGTTGCTGCTGCTGCTAACGCTGTTGCTGCCGCAGTTGACGCTGACGCTGCCACTGCCTGTGCTGCTGCGTGTGCTGCTGCTGCTGCTGCTGCTGCTGCAGCAGGGCGCAGTGGACTTCAGCGCTTTGTCTCTTCTTGCTTCTTTGGAGACACAAATGAAAAAAATAATTCAAAAAAGAAAAAAAGCTCCTCCTCCCGAAGTTTATTCTCTGCACAGAAAACTCGTCGGCTGCTACCAGCTCAACGTACACCTCAAGGCCAAAGTGCATGCGCATGCAGTAAGCAGCAGCAGCAGCAGCAGCAGCAGCTAGGGTTTGGGGCTTGGCAAGGGTGTGTATGTTGCCAGGGTTGTGGTTTTGGCTAGGGTTTAGGGTTTGTGCATGGGGCATAGTAGCAACAACAGCAAAAGTAGCAGCAGCAGAAACAGCAGCAGCAGCAGCAGCAGCAAAGCCTGCAGCAAAACCACCACCACCAAACGAAGAGGGGAGGGTTTTTGTTCGGTCTTTTTCTCTTTGAATTAGTTGCTTATTTATTTTTAAATTATTTATTTTTATTTTTAATTCAGTTGTTTCTAAGTTAATATTTATCATTTATGATTTTCATTCATTTATTTTGCTGCGCTGCTGGGCTGCAGCTGTTTAGAGATATTTGTAAGGAGCTTGAGGACAGAAGTGCAGCGGCTGCAGCAGCAGCAGCAGCAGCACCTCCAGCAGCAGCAGCAGCAGCAGCAGCACCTCCAGCAGCAGCAGCAGCAGCAGCAAGCTAGCGTGGGGGCAGCCGTCTCTTTTTTCTCTTCGCTTTTTGAGGGTTTGCAGAATGTGACGGCAAATGACAATTTTATAAAATTTTATTTTTATTTTTATAATTATTTAATTTAATTATTTAATTTAATTATTTAATTTAATTATTTAATTTATTTATTTAATTCATTATATATTTATCTATTTATTCATCTATTTATTTATTTCAAAAACAAGACAAGAGGCGCCACAGCGAAACCCTCGGCTGCCTCTATTTTATTGAAAACTCTTTTTGTCGGTTTCTTCTTTTATTTGTCTCTTCATTTTTATTTATTTATTTATTTATTATTTATATGTTTATTATCTATCTATCTATTTATTTACTTATTATTTAGTTATTTGGTTATTTGTTTATATTCAGA